ATTTATTTTTTTTCCTGGCTTGAGCTGGTGACTGAATCTTAAATGCTTGCAGAGGACCAGCTTGCTGCCATCTCGTTGGCATTCTGGTTTGCTGCTTGCAATTAAATCAAAATGTTTCTACGTGTCTTTCCCAAAAGACAAGAACCTGCTTGCAATGAGATTCCCGGTGCAGGGATCCAACTTCCCACTGTGCTCACTTCGTCTGACCTTTGGAGCATGGAAGGTTGTGATGCACCAGCCTGCAGGGACGGGCACGATGTCTCTTAATTGTGCTCTGTAATCAGCGGCTCGTTTGCAGCCCTCTGCAATGACACAGCTTTGTCCTCCAGCTGAGGGCACCACGGGAGGCCACTCTGCAGGCAAAGGCACGAAGGAGGATCAAGTACTCCCGACAGCTCTGTTGAGATGCTGGGAGGCTCCTTGGAGCTGTGAGAGGGACCTCCGTGTGTGTTTTATGGTGCATTGATTGGGAAAGGAAGCATAAAATACTGCCTAAACTTCTCTTGGGAAGCTTCCATGACCCAAGGCAAAATGGACCCAAGGGGCTGGGGTCCTAAAAAGTATTAATTCCCTTATAAAGATGTGTGTGTGACCTCGGATTAATCCAAAGCCAGGAGAAATAGGTCCCACTCAGTGTTTTGTGGGAGTTTGCAGGCTCATAGGAAGGAACCTGTGATAGACACCACAACCTGTGATACACACCAAACTCTGCAGGCATTAAGCTGGGTGAAGCAGGGGAAGCCTTCATTGAATCATTGGGGGTGAAGGAGCTGCAAAAGTTTTCCACCTCTCCAAAAAAAGGAAGAGTGAAGGACCTGTACTTTGGCTTTGCTTTAGTAAAAGTCTGTGTGTAAGCTCTGTATAGAAATGGAGGCACTTCAGAGTTTTGCACAAGAGTCAGTAAAAATGGCTTCTGAAGAAATGGCAACCACTGGGGATGGTCCCAGAGAGATGTGACACTCCTTTGCTTCTTCAAGGTGTCTGTGGTTGAGGTGCTGCTCTGCCTGGAGAGCTGAAAATGTAAGGGCAGAAAGGGCAAAATAATCCCAACATTGAACCAAAGTGCCACATGCTCAGAAATGGGTTGAATAAGACACTCTGTGACCAGGAAATCACGTTTTGGAGAGGCTGAAGTAGAAAAGCTCAGTGCTGAAGCTGCTTCAGCCTTGTGCAGGAGGTGAGCCTACAGTGGAGGATGGCTCCCTGAGACCTTCCTGCAATATCTGCCTTCCAGAATCCTTTCTCACATAAAACAATCAATCATTCCCTGCTTTGATGGATTCTCTTGAAATATAATCTGCATAAATGGTACTGCTGCAACCCTGCCTGGATTGAAACACATAATGTTGTAGGATGGGAAGAAATAGCTGTGTTTTTCTTCAAGGCAAAATTTCTTATGTTCTTGACAGCTTTGAAAAAAAAAATGGTGGTGTATGTGGAGTGAAAATCTTTGATAGGGAAGTGAAATAAAAGTGAATTATAGCTCAGTTGTTTCACTTTTTAAAGGTGAGGTCTTAAATTTCTAAAGTGGCCATCCAGATGCTAAAAGGCATAACTTTGACAATTTATTACAGCCCATTTTCCCCTTTATGTCCTATAAAACACTGTGGATGTTCTTGACCATACACCTCTGTCATAGCATGTGAGACATACCTGAAATGTATTAATTTCCCCCAGCCAGGGGCCCACAGGGCTGTGCTTGCTTTAGCCTGTTTTACTGGTCCCTGTGAGGAGCAGAAGTTGGAATGAGCTTTAAAAAGCTGAGGGGTAGTGATGCCAAACCAGAAAAAGGGTAAAAAGGTCATGTAATCCATGTTCTCCTGCATGGAGTGGGCCCTACAACAGGCCTGGCCTCCTGTGGGCTGTGCTGGACCAGGAAAGCAGATCTGTGCTGCAAATGGAGTTCTTGTATTTTTATCCTTTATCGTGGGGGAAACTCATCTTGATGTTGTAGAGACTGAGCCTAATGAACACAAGGAGGACAAATGCAAATAAAGAAGAGTCATGAGTGGTTCTCTGCCTGGGAGGGGAGAGGAGGGGGAGCTGAGAAAGCAGAATGAGGAGTGGCTGCTCCTCTGCCACCCCTGACTCCAAACCAGGGTTTCAGGACAGGGACAATGTTTCTCCTGGGGTTAATTCAAGCCACAGCTGCTGGGCACTGGGGAGGGAGGACGTGGCTGGATAGCCCAAGGCTGTTGTGTGCTGCAGAGCAGATGGGCTCTGCATGAGCTACAGGTTTCAGAGCTGGGATGGCTGCAGCCCAGGCAGGGTTTGGCAGCTGCCAGTGAATTTGTTGTACACGTGGTGAAAAGTGGGCCAAACGATGAGAAGGTGTTTCTGTGCATGTCCTGGTCAGAGCAGGTGTGTCTTGCTGTGCTTTTGGCAGTTTGGCTGTGCATGTGTGGCCTTACATTTCAGGGGAATCAAACAAATCTGACTGAATTGCCCTCAAAGTGCTGCAGGGAAGTCTGGTTGGGCAGAGCTCAGCACAGGCTGCACTGGGACAGCAGAAATAAGAGACCTCAGAAATAAGATTAGGGCTCTTACATGTGATAAATCAGTAATTTCTTACCTGCCACAAGGGAAAGCAGTGTGCTATAGAAAATACTGATGTTCAATTTACACTTAAGCATCTCCATATTACATGTATTTATTAACCAGATATTCTGGTTCATATTAAATGCTTTAAACATACAGTGAACACATCATATAGCCAATATAATAAATATATAGCATTTTTTCTTACAATAAAATATTAGTTTTATTTATATTTATTGATATATTTATTTTTATATAATAAATATATTTATTATATATTTATAATATAAAATATTTATTTTATTTATTTAATATTAGTTTTATTTACTACACTTTATCTTATTAACATGAGTTTTAATTAAGTCTAGTAAAAATGTTGTCTCCTGTAACAGTTTGGTAGAGAAGTAGGTTCCAGTAGTAAATGCATTTAATCTCTTTGGGGGAAAAAAAAAAGTTTTATACATTCGAGTGGTGAGCATTAAGGACAACATCTGGGAAGATCTGATGTTGGGTTAGAAATCAAACAATCACATTGTTCCTAAATAAATTGATCCTGCATATATGGCCTTAACCGGACATAAGGCTGATTTATAGTGGGTTACTTCCATACTTCAAATTGAATGTATAGACATATTAATCAGTTTCTAGAGTGCATCTGGGATAAGGTAACTAACAGGCTGAAAAAGGAGCTTTCCCAAACTGTCAGTATTTTTACTGGTGTACATTGGAATAGCTCTGCCAAGACGTTATGGTAGATGGCCCATGTCTAAAGACCTTTCAGTGTAATGGGAATTTTTCCATTGCTTTCTCTGGCATTTGATTCAGGGTCCCTGGAATTTGGCTGAGAAACTCACTAAAGCTGTACAAAACCTGTTTATTTCTATTGCTGCTTAAGCAAAGCTACCTGATATGGAGCATAACATGATTCTGGAGGTTTAGTTGGGTTAAACTCTTTTTTGTGTGTGTGTGTTCGTGGATTCAGACACCTTCTCAACTATCTCCAACTCTACTGAACTAAAACTCCTGGCCTTAAATGTGGAAGTTTTGTAGTGTGAATTAGTACAGGAGCACATTTGGAAGGCTCTGAAGAAAGTCTTGGGTGTGTTCATTTTTGTTATTCCTGCAGTCTTTGCAGAGATGTAACACCCAGTCAAATGATGTGGGATCACTTCTGAAAAACTCTCTGTTCTCACATCTTCTATACACATCCTTTTTCTGTATCAGGTAAGAGCACAAATGCTACCAAAAAAAAAAAAAAAATTATTGGTGAAATAGTGATTTTTGCTGAGAGAAGTTCAATCAAAAAATGACAAAACATCTTTCCCATCTGTTTCCCAAGAAGTACAAACCCTGTCTTGAGATAAAAAAAGTGATTTATTGGTGAAAAAGTGATTTTTTTTTCTGAGAGAAGTTCAACCAAAAAATGACAAAACATCTTTCCCATCTGTTTCCCAAGAAGTACAAACCCTGTCTTGAGATATTGTTCTTTTTCCATGCTTGGTGACAACAGGGAGCCTGATTCCTTCTCCTGAGAAGAGTAATAGATTTTCTTCTTTTAGACTGGGACTGGTATTTGAAATGCTCTTGGGGTGCTTGCCTTCACTTATCTTGTGTTTCTTATCTCTTGGGCCTGCCAGTAAGTCACTAGAAGGGTTTTTGTGTGTTCTGAAGGGATTTTTTCATTCCTTTCCATGTTATATGATGTCTTTATCATTTCTATCCAGGGCAGTAACAGGGCAGTTCTGAGAGCACAAGGCTGTGTTGCTTGGGAATCTCAGCTCTGCACACATTTGGCACACCTTTGATTTGTAGGCAGAGATTTTTAAATCTATTTTAGGGTGTTTCTTTTGCAATAAGTGCAGAATGGCTGTCACCATGAAACCCAACTCTTGTGCTAGGGTTTGTGGAAACATGAGCCAAGAATAAATGTATTTTACTGCTTATGGGTAGGGCTCTGTTCCAATTTTGTGTGTTGTGCTCCGATCAAACTGCTGAAGGCAGCCTGTGTGAGAGTGCAGATGTACTGACATGCTGCCTAAATTAACATGTCCTCACTTTTTCTGGGGTCTGAGGGTTTTTGGGGTAAATACTGAGCTTGTTTGTGATCTACAATTGGTTTTGGTCAGTTACATTGATGGAGGGATGGATGTTGGCTCCTTGGGGAAGGATCTGTGGCCCTCCCTGACTCAGCTGTGTTAATTTGCAAAAAGTTCTCCCTCCCTGAGCAAAAGGTCTGAGTTTCAGACCCAACTCTTCCAGAATCACAGTAAAGAGTGTCCAGATGGATGTCAGGAATGGGATAAAACCTGGCTCACAGCCTGGGAGAACTGCACAGGGAGGATATAGCCAAAATGTCCTTCTCTGGCTTTCCTGACACTCTCCTGGCCCTTCCAGCTCTCTCCCCTTGCAAAAATCCCCATTGTCCTTTCTCACCTTTCCTTTCCAACTCTTTATTGCTTTAGTAATACTGAAAGGATCTCCTGCTCAAGCAGCCAGACAGCAGCTTGTAATAACAGAGGCACAAAACCAGCACAAGAGATTTCCTGGTTTGACTAGGATTTGTGTGCAGGAAATCTCCTCCTGAGCCCGTGTGAGTGCAGAGGAACTTTGCAGCCCAGCAAAGCCCCAGCTCCCCTGCACGAGCAGGATAAAGGAGCAGTCAGTGTGTCCCAGCCCTGTCCCACTGAAGGCTTCTGGGGGAGCACTCAGCCCCTCACTCTCTGCGAGCCCTGGCTGCCATCCAGGGCAGCACCAACGTGGGACCAGCATTCCCTGACTTGCACCCTCTGGAAGTTTGCTGGTTCTCTGCCTCCATCTGATGAGCTGGGTGTGGAGGAGGGGAGCTGTGGATACTGCACTGCAAAGGGAAGCAATTCCAGGAGGTGCCTGGGAGAGGCTGAGGAGTTTTCCATGGCATTTCCAAACCAGAGCGCTCTGGAGCTGTTCCTGAGTTTATTAGCACTGAGCCCTCTTAATTCCAAGAGGCTGCTCCATGGCCACTCGGGAGATAAGGGAAGATTAAACAGAGGAGCATAAGTGCTTGAAGATGAATCCTTAATACCTGTGATGAAAAGGAGGCTGGATTAAGTGAGAGTTACACCTCTGTGAGCTTCATTTCAGAGCAGGGATAGCTGATCTCACCCTCAGCTTCCCCCAGCTGCCACTGGAAATCAGCTGGAGAAAAGTTCAAGCCATTCTGGCATTAAGCTAAAATCTCTTCTGGAGGTTTACATTTAAAAAAAATAGTTGTGTAAGAGACTGAGTGGAATATTGATCGAGACTCTCAGGATCTGGTGGCAAAAGGATTGTTTGAAGGGTGGCATGACTTTTGTAAACACACAAGGGATAAAAATGATGAATGATGAATGCTCTGTCAAAGAATTGCCTTTTTAAAAAGAAGATACTCCTTCCTGTAGAAAGCCTCTTACAGAGAGCTAAAGAGAAGTGGTAAAGTGTGAGAAATAGTCCTGGTTCTTTTACTGCACTCTGAAAAATAAGGACAGAACTTGCTGAAATAGACAGGATCCTACTGTTGGTGGGAAGGGCAACCCTGGACAGGAGGAGTCTCTCTTTCTTTGGGCTGCACTCCATCCTGGCTCCAAGCTCGTCCACAGGGAATTCACCTGCAGAAGGCATGCTGTGGGCATGGCTGCATGCCAGTGGCTACTGCAGTGGTGGGAGGGTTTATAACAAAACCAAGAGGATTGTTGGGGTTTTGTCCTCTTGGAAAGTCCTCACAGGAACAAGAAAGTAAATGTACAGGCAGCTCTTAACTGATGCTGCAGCTGCCCCAGGTGTATCAGGGTGAACTGGCTGTCCCTGAAAGCAGCAGATAATCCATGGATGAGGGATGGGCACAGAAGTGGCTCTTTCAAGAGTTCCCATGTTCCAGTACAAGCTGGCTTGTGCTGGGCAATTAATTTGGCTATAAATAAGAAACGCAGCTGGGTTCCATGAACAAGTCCCTGGCTGAGTGATGGTAGGATGGATTTGAATACACACAGGGACTTCACCCAGTCATGTCCCACCCTAGGCTGCAGACATCTCGCTGGTCAGGGAGCTGGGTGGTGTTAGAGTCACACCAATGAGCTGTCTGGCCCAGGACATTCAAACCCTGCTGTTTGAGGAGAGTCTGGACAATGAAACATGCTGCTGTCACACGGAGACCTGGAGTCTGTGTTGTCTCTGTTTCAAATCTGCTCCTCCCTCTGTAGCATTCCCCTAAGTAACACTGAACATGGAACAAAGAGGTGGCCTCTTCTCTTCCCCCTTTCCAAGGATATTTGCTGTTTATTAAATGGGATCTGACCTTGACCTTGCCTGTTTTGCACTGCTGCAGCTGATGAACACTCGAGTCTTCGACCAAAGGCTTTACTGGCAGATCTGCCACTGGAAGAAGTCTGCTGCAGCTTTGCCCATGTCTTGACTGCCATACTCGAGCCTGTTTCCTAAAGTTTACCTGGGGAGAAAGCTAAAATAATGTTTTGGTGTGGCCTTTTGCAGCAAAATGGTGTTGTGTCACTCCTGGGGAGCCAATTGCCTTGACGAAGGTTTTAGAAGGAAAGAGGAACTGAAGCTCACAACTTTAAAGGGAGTAATGCTGATGTATTTATTTCTAACATCTTTGTTGGAGCTCAACCATTTTAGGACAGGAAAGAATTGTTTTCACCTTTGTCTGCATTTTGTCATTCTCTGAGGTTATAGAACCCCCTGCAATGTGCCTGCAGCCGTCACTTTGGGGCCTGTTTCAATCCACACTCGTGCCTGAGTGGGTGTCAGTGTCCTTTCCCTGGCATTGCCTTCCCTGCAATCCTCACTGAGGTGCCATGGATGGCACCACTGAGCAGAACGTTGGCTTGGTCTGAGCTGATTTTCTTGCATTGTGGTGCTTTAGGCCTGGCAGCAACTGGTACATTATCTACCATTGGAAGCCAGGAGATTCCAAAGGGAGGGACCAGGCACATCCCACCTGAGGGAGATTCAGCCGATTGCACCACTCTGTGCAGGCTTCCCACAGGTTTCCAGACCATTAAGTGCATGAAGATGACATCAGTGGTCTAAACCCACAAGAGCCAGGGATTTTGGGCTTTGGGGTGAAGCTCAGGTTTCTAAAATTCATGTCAGTGCCTCAGCAGCCCTGTCTGTCCTCCACACAGAATTCCTGGGGAAGTTGGAGCAGTTGGCACAGCCCAGTGCAGGGCTGGACTCTGTGCTGCACCAAGAGTTGTCTTTGATGTCTCCCACTGGTTGCTATCGTGACTGCTGCTGCTGTCAGGGAGAAATGTAGTGCAGTGAGCTGCAGACACTGATCTGATTATTGTGACAGACTATGGAAATAAACCTTTCTCTAAGAGCAGAGTTTTGACAGCTTTTTCAAGTGCATTCACAAAGCTTGGGATATTATACTTTATTTTCTTAGTGCTCAAAGTGAAAGGTTGCATGTGCTAGATGCACTTGGATATGTGAAATTAAATGCATTATGGAAACAATAATTTTGAGCCAAATGTATACCTCTGAAAAACTTGTTTTCTGGCTATTTTTTTTGGGTCTGCCTGAGATGGAGTTAATTTTCCCTGCAGTGCTGAGCTTTGTCTTGGTAGCTAAAAGAGGTTGGTCAGACCCCAGAGCTCTGAGCAATGGTGGCACAGCGTCGGGGCTGCCTCCCCAGCATTCCCCTTCACCAGCAGCCTGGAGAGAGCATGGGACACAGCCAGGACCAAAGCTGATCAAAGGGATCTCCCATTCCGTGTGACATCAGCAGCAAGAGCTGGGAGAGAGTAGGAGAAGGGGAGGAATTCATTATTATGTTGTCTTCTGGAGCAATCCCTATGCATCCTGAAGTTCTACAGCCTGGGAAGTGGCTGGACATTGCCTGCTGATGGAAAGAAAATAAATATTTTGTTTTCCTTTGCTTCTCTAAACTGCTTTTCTCTTGATCCATGAGACTTTTCCCACCTGATTTTCTCCCTGCCCTGTTTTTCTGGGGGGAGTGATGGAGCAGCCCCTGGGGACATGGCATCCAACCAGGGTCACCCCACCACACAAAGGGACTTCTCCCCTTTGCCTGACACTGGGATCAGCTTTGCAAAGGCAGCTGAATGCCCTGAGCTGGAAGTGACAGAACCTCATTGCTCATGGATTTATACCTCACAATTAATTGGGCTTTGGAAAGCCTTTCCTGCAGGACAGAAATTAGTAGGGCAAGAGCTTTTTAAGAAAGTCAGTTTGCAGTCACTAAAGAAAGGAAAAATTACTAATTATGTATGCAATCTGTTCTGCTGGTGAGACAGTGATGAGCTTCCTACAGAATTGTCTGTGGAAATATCTTTGTCTTTTTTTGGAAACAAAAACTCTTGGAGAATACTTTGGGGAAAGAAAGGTCATGGCGTTTGAGAGGCAAAATGGAAAACGACAGTAGAGTGATTTTTCCCCCCCCCCACAAACCTCAGATCTGCAGTGCCTGGGCTACATTCTTTTGTCAGCAATTTTCTTTCCCCTCCTATTTTTGCAAGATAATTTTAGTATGAACTTTGTCATGACTTGAGAGGCACGAGAATTGCCTTGATTTCCACCAGCCTGTACTGTACCTGTCCCCTGCCCTTTTGGCACAGCCCCTCTCTGTGTTGTCCCTTGAATAATGAGCTTTTTCAGGGATGCTGGTGGGAATGGCTTGGCTTGGGTTTGGTTGGCTCCTGCCAGCAAACCCAGAGCCATCAGCTGGGACAGCCATGGAATTCCCTGATGAGGTGTCAGGTGTGGTAAGCTGCACCCTGGGCTAGTAGGATTATCTGTAGAGAGGCCATTATCCAGCAGAAAATAAAGAACATTTATTTGTATTCATATTTAATAATGAACCATAAGCTGCATCAAATCAAACAAGGATTCCCTGTTGGACAGGCAGCAGGTACGAGGGCAGTGTGTGTCAGGGGGGTCTCTGTACCTGGGTGTTATTATCTGCTTGCACAATTTCTTGCCAGGGAAGTGATCTTTGAAAATAAAACCCAGCTGTCTGCTGGGATCTGTGTCTGTGAAGGGCAGTGGGAGAGGGACGCTGCTTATCCCTGACCTGCTGGATTGTGTCACTCCTATTCCTCAGCAGAAACGTTCTCCCTTTGCAAGTGGAAAAAGGATGTCTAAAGAAATCTCTGCAGAGCTGTGACCTGCGCTCCCAGCGGAGCTGGGGTTAGCAGCACTCCTGTCTCCAGCTGTGAGGAGTGCAAATGGGCTCTGCCAAGCCTTCCAGATCTCTGCCAATTTTGTCTCACAGTTCAGTTGGTTGTTTTTTTTAAGATTTGTTACAGAGCATTTCTTTTTTAAAGCAAACCAACGCCATGAGTCTTGCATTTAAATAAATGTATGTGCTCAGGTAATGCAACTAATAGAATAGAAAAGTAAGATTAGAGGTGATTTGGGTAATTTTCTAGTCTGTGGGAAGGCAGAGTCAACTCCCTCCACACACAGTCAGGGCGAGAATCTGAAGTGGTCATTGCTTTGGGGCATTACATAACAGGAAAAAAAAAAGGGTACATTTTGTACCTGGATTACATCCCAGGTGGTGTGGTGGGCTTGGGGAAGTGCTGCTTGGTGCTTGTTTTTTTAGCTCCTCTTCCCTCTTACATTTGTAATGCCTCTTGCTCTGACAGGTAAAATCTCTGGCACTCTGCTGCCTTCATTTAAACCTTTTTTCCTTGGAGAAATTGGAAATGTGCTGTATCGAGAGTATCCAACTCTGTTACCATTGGGAACCACCTTGTTAACAACCGAACAGTTAAATCTTTCCCTTCTATGGTTGAAAGATCTTCATTCCTCACCATTCCCAATTACTCCTGTCCTTCTGCCATGGGCAAACATGTACCTTTGATGGGATAGGGAATCAGCGTGGCTCATATATAGAAAAGCTGCAAATCTTGTGTCTGTATGAGACTGGATTTACTGGGAGCATCCTGGGGAGCTGATGCACTAAGAGTCACATGAACAAAGCATGGCCAGCACTGGTGCAAGGGTCCCTAATCCTCCCTGGCCATGCTCAATGCCACTTTTGAGGGACTTGCTGGAGTTCAGGAGCACCTACATCACTGAGGTTGATTCCTCTGTTTCACTTGGAGCACTCAGAACTGTCCCTGGCAAAACAAAATCTGAGGGATTGGATTTGCACTCAGTAAGGGAAATATTACAGCTTGCATTAAGCAGTAGGGATTGAGGTATGATAAACTTTGCCATTTTTCAGGCCTGTAACATAAACAGTGATGGGTTGTTCTTATCTGTGCTTCCAAACAAGGTTTTGATCCCACCCAGCACATTGCTGTTCCAGCTGAGGGCGGAGGAAATCAAAGATAAGATGCCGAGATGAAATGACCTTCTCCTCCTTTCTCCCTACAGGTGATTTACATTTAAACCCAGATGCAAACTGAGATTTCACGGCTGGTGTTCTTAGTGTAGACTAAACCAAAATCTTGGATCCAAAGCTTGTCAGTGTTCAAAGTAAATTATATCATAGTTTATTCTCCTTTCTGGCAGAGGTGGAGTGAAATTCTCAGGCAGACATCTGTGTACAGTGAAGAAAGCTCCATGGAAATGCTGCTGTTCACTGGACTGTATATTTATTTATTCAAGTCCTGGAAATCTAGATGAAAGACAGGAAAGACAGAGGGATTGTCCTAATGAAACTGGCAACAATAATTGTAATGAAACCAAAATTGTTTAGGTTTGAAACAGAGTCATTTAGGTTTGTCCAAAGCTTGGCATTGTTGGTTCTGTTCCTTTCTGACACTGCAGATGTGTTTCTGCTAAACCATTACGTGTCTAGCATTGATTCCATTAAAAACACACTAAGACTGTGGGAAGAGTTTTGTCACAGCAGTGAATCCCTGAGAAGAGCTGTGTGTGACATACCAGGACAAAATGGTTATTTCCATGTTTAAGCAGTGTCAGCACAAGGCACACAGCCCCCTTGGAAATGGGAAAAATTGGGGATTGCTACGAGGCTCCTTCATCACCCTTCTTTACCCACTTGGTGCTGCTGAGAAAAGGGTTGTGCTGCAGTGAGGATTTTGCTGGAGCTGGGAATGGAGCTGCTCCCTCGCCAGGGCAAGGAATAGCTGATGGCCATGGCATGAAAGGAATGCCATAATTATCTCCCACAGCCTGTATGGGAGTGCTGGTATGGAATATGTCCCTAAACCAGAAATGTGCCATCTCTAGTGTTAGGAGAAGTGCTGTTTTTGTTATGCTTCTCTTCCTCAGAACACAGGAGAAATCATAAGAGCTGCCCAGACAAAGGCAGAAAAGGGGATATTTTGAGTGAAAAACCTTTGGCTTCAGATTTTATTTCCTCCACTGCTGCTGAGGATACACAATAAATCTTCCCTGATTATTTTCACTTGAGGCAATGGTGCACCAGAGTGATGTGTTAAAGCTTACCCTGGTGCAACAAATATCCTCAATTTACTTTTTTATAAGCCTGCTAATTTTCACAGATTTCTAGAAAGGACTGTTTAGGAACTGAGGAACAGCTGGATTATGGAAAGGGATATAATCCCCTCCTCCCCAGCACAGAACCTTCAAAATATCTCCAATGAAGAAGCAGAGAGTCAGACCAATGCATTTCTATCAGAGAAGTGAGACCCATCAGAGCTGATCCTTCATCAGCTGCCACTGGTGCAGCACTGCTTGTCCTGGGCCACATCCAAAAGTTGTGTAGGTGACCGGGGTGGCACTTTGCATCCTCTAGTCCAGATTGGAGATTTTTGCTGCGAGCTCTTTGAGCAGAAAGGAGATGAAATATGGTTTCTTTTTGCTCAGAGGGGCCCAAAGGTCTTGGAGGAAAATCAATTTGCTTGACAGACTTGGCAAGGAGAGCTCTCAGCTGGTGGCTGGCCTCTCTCCAGGCTCTCCCCCACCCAGGGACAGGCAGGATAATTGAGCAGATCTTGTTGCAGCAGAGCGGGATAACGTATTCATGGATGTCCAAGTGACTGAAGAGCTCAGTGCGTAAGCACTCGGGAGAACAAATCTGTTTGGAGCTGGCTCTTCCTGCCTCTGGAGACAAGGAATGTGTTTGACCCTGTCCTGTGGCAGGCACCACTTCAAAGTCACTTTGAAAGGGGGCAATGGAAAGCACTGGGATGGTTCTCAAATGTCCAAACACTGATTTCTCTCAAAAGTGCCCAAGATTTCCCTTCAGTCTCTGGATATACCATGAATGATTTGTTTTATCAACAGCTAGCTGATTTTAACATTTTTCCTCAGTTTTTTTTCCTTATTGCTTTAACTTTTTAACCTTCTTATCACCTCTAGCTGTGTGTGTTTTGGGCGCTTTTAAATGAAATTTCAACATTGCTCTTTCTCAAGAGAAAGCACTGCTGTTACTTTAGCAGCCTTGCAGACGTACTGCTATCACTGGTGTAACACAGCAATGGAAAAATATGACTCTCCTTGAACCCTTCTCTGTTTGTTTTTACTGTCACTCTGTGTCTTGGGATTTAAGGAACTGAGAAAACCTTCCCTGTGTGCAGTTCCTGGGAGGAGCCAGTGTGTGCTAGCACAGGTTGCCCTGGTCTGATGGACAGAAGAGTTTTTCAATTCTTTCCAATCCCAGTTAGTGGCTGTGATAGGGAAACTGAAGGAGAGGGAAAAGGGGCTTTTCTCCCTCTCCAAGTGCCCCATGTCAGCCCTGCCTTCAGCTCTTTGAGCACCTTGTGTTTTCATAGGAAAGTGTTGTAAAAAGCAAATTTGTTGTAGGAATGTGCCTGGTGGTGTTGGCAATGATTCCTGTGGTTTCTGTTGCATTTCTAGGATGGAGGCCTGCTTTAAATTCATTACCCTTTCATTAAGTTTGTTCTGTGGGGCTTTCATTCACTGCTGTCTGTGGGACCCAAATAAATGAGAATCAAAGAAAAACCCCTTCAAAAGAAGGGTAACCACGAGCATTACACATTTCCTTGTTTAGCAGAGAAATGATAAAATCATTCTGAGTATATGGGATTGTAATTACACAATGAAAATATTAAGTCCTAAATGTCCAGCCTCATTTCTAACCTGCATTTAGAGGAATCTTGCCGTTGTCCTGCTTGGGAGAGCCAAACACCTGAAAATTCCTGCTGTGAGGGCTCCCTGCCGTGTGGCTCAGCTGCCTCTGGGCTGCACAGGGCAGGTGGGACAGCTCTTGGGAGGGGTAGAGCAGAGCAGGCTCTGGCACTGCACATTTAAGGGCTGTTGTTGGATTCTTCAGATGACTTTAGACAAAGTCAGCAGTGATTTAGCAGAGCTGATTCTGCCCTGAGGAAGAGAAAGGAGTAACTGACCTGGGAAGATAATTTCCCTCTCTTTTCTGTGATCCTGTTCCTGTTTCAATCTCTGGGACCCAAAACCGTGCAGCATTTTGCATGTCAGAGTCAGCCTGAGATAAGGTTTCTGAATGGAAACCAAGTTCATCCAAGAGTGTGGGAGATGAGTTTGCAGAAGATGCTGAAGTATTACTTGACATTATTAACTTGTGTTTTTAATCATAAGATATATATCTGAGAAACTTGATGGCATCGTCTTCTTCCCTGGTAAAAAATGGCACAAGAACATGTAAGAAAAATAACTTCAGCCCCTTATGCCCTGTCTCTGTCACAGGAGCAATGGGGTAACAGATTAACAACTCCATATTTCCTTTAGAGCCTCCCTTCTCTTGCCACGGGCAGCCACGTGTCCCCCTGTCCCTGTATTACACGGGAAGGACAGCCCTTAGCTGCCACCTCTCCAGTTCTACCAGAGCTGGGCCCATTAAAGAGACTGTTCTGTATTTATTATGGAAGAGCAACTTACACCCAGTGACATTTCTGCTGGCTGCTGTTAAAATCCTCTCCACTCTAAAGTCAGCAGCTTCATCTCAGAGTGACAAACAGAACTGCTGTTGAAGAAAATGTTGTCTCCTGAAGTGTTGAATGTAAAATTGTTTAATGGTAAATAATACAGCCTGCAAAGTTATGCTGGGAAAATGGGCTAAAAGGAGAAATCACATTTAAAGTCTTTGGGTTTTTGCTCTTTGCAGTTACAGGAATTGATCATGCACAGTTAGTGAGAAGGGTAAGAAAACTCAAGGGAGACAAACACCAACACATTTCAGGAACAAAAACCACAAAGGTTTCAGAAAAATGTTCTTTCCTTTCCTTTCTAGTTGTTCTGCTTATTATTTGTTGTTGTTTTGGGGCTCATTTTTTTTAAAGAAACAATGCATTTCTTTTATCTTCCCCTCTTTCTTCCTTTTCATCTTCTTTCTTAAATGTCTCATTAGTTTCTGCTGTGCAGTTGTGCAAGATGAAATGTTGTCAGCCTGTGCTGATGAATACCTCTCTGCAAGCCTTACATAATCCATCCCAGCCCCAAATGAGGTTAGTGCAGAAATAGAGCTTTACACCTTTGAACTGCCAATTCTGCAGCAGAAAGCAGCCGCTGGCATCGAGGGCCAGGCCAGGCTGTGCCAGCAGTCAGGAAAACATTGCACTGAGTTTGGGACACAGATGTGAGGAGCTGCAGCCACTTAGCCCATGTCCTTTGGAAGTCCTCTACCAGTTTATTAAGGTAGGTGCCCTTTTTCATGGGGACAAAGGTGGGAAAATTCAGTATTTCCAAGACCATACTCAATAATTACATTAATTTCTCTAGTTCTCCACTTAACTCATTGTTATTCCTGGCTAGCTCTGGGGCATAGCAGGGAGACTTGTGTGTAATTCCATTCTTGCCAAGGGCCAGATTGTCAGCTGCACGTTTGAGTGGGGGACACAGAATCAGAAGGGACCCACAAGGATCATGGAGGTGCCACTCCTAGGCTGGGCAGGTTGCATTTGCAGCACTGTAGGTGCAGTTTAGGCTGATTCTAGTGAGGTTACCATCCTTTGTGCTCCATGCAGGAGCAGCTAGGGTAGTTTGTGCATCCAAAGCCATCCAGAGAATGGACTTTTATGAGAAAGGCTGACAGGGCTGCACTTTGATTTTTCTTGGTAGTCAAGAAAATGTTTGCAGGTTTCACAGCATCCCTAGGGAATCCCTCAAAACCAGACAGGGTGCTCATTATTTTTCACTGGCCATGACCACTGTTCTGTTTTACAGCAATTTATTATTTTCATGTTTGCTGTCACAGAAGCATTTGTTTTGTCTTATTTAAACCTCCTTGAAGTCTGTGCATAAACATTCACCTGTTGCTCCATGGCAGGTAAATAAGAATTGAGCCTTTTGTATGCTCTGGGAATAAGAAGGAAATGCTGCACTGAGGATGCAAGCAAACAAAATAGGATTATTGGCTGATCTCTTGAAAAATGTATGTGCATTTCTCCTGGACCTACTGTGAAATGAAGAAATCTGAGTGAATGTACATCCCTGAATCTCTCCCCCCTGCTACTTACCTTAGATATTTGGCTCCTCATATGTTAGGGCAGCAGCAAAATGCATTAGAAAACAGAAGTACAAGTGAGGGCTGCAAGAAATGGAAAACTCTTGGAGGTGGTGTAATCTGCAAAGAAAAACGTGTTGGAGTAAATGGTCCTCTCCCAAAATGGGAGTCTGGCTGCAAACAAGGAGTCAGAAAATAGGGAAAGTGCTTCTCACAGGAGTGTTCCAGGGAAATCATATGCTACAACTTCCTTGCAGGCCAAGCACGCATTTTATCACAGAGATAAAATATGTCCTATTTCTCTACAGGACATGGGAAGATGACTGGCTCCTTTTTATCAGGTTAAGTGCATGGGCATAGGTAATATCTTATTTTCCAGATGCTTCCTGCAAGCAGAATTCTTAGACGTGCTGCTCAGGAAAAGGGCCATGTCCAGTGTGGAGCCAGAGGAGGCCTTGGGGCTGCCTTGGTGAAGGTCTAGATTTCCAAATGTTTCAGCTTTCCTTGCTCTGTCACATGCCAAGTGCCAGAGCAAAGGGACCTGCTTTTCTCTTCCCTATTTCTCTGTGTTTGCTGCCTCTCCCTAGAGAATTATTAGGTAACAAACACACACACACACACACACACACACACACACACACACACACACACACTCTCATTAAATGAAGAAGGACTAAGTAATTGCACATTATTGACTTCAGTGGTTCCCAAATGTACATCCTGTATTCCTTTTGGACCTGGGGGAATCCCAGCCCTGACGTGAGCTTTGCCTGCAGGTCTTCTCCAATGTGAAGGAGCCTTTCAATTAGAGCTGCCCTCAGTGCAGGTTATAATGTGGTGCTTCTGGCCTGCTCAAGGTACTTTTACTGGAATAAAAACCACAGGACCTGTTTTGTGATGTACCTGTCAGCTCCTTAGTGAGGAAAGTGGAAGGGGGATGATGAGCACCATTGGGATGCTCAGAAGTTAAAGACCAATGTTCTGTATTTAAGGCTCAGGAGTGAGGGAGGGAGACAGGACCAGAGGGAGAGTGAATGTGGCTCATTCCTTAGTGCTGATATTCCTCAGAGAGGGTAAATGGGCTAAAGGGAAATTCAGCCACTTGAAAAGGAAGTTTCAAATAGAAGGGTTACTGAAAGCTGAGGAAGGACAGGCAGAGCAAGGGCCTGGTCCTGCTCCAGGCAGGGGATGCTAATGTGGCTCTCAGCTATTCAAAGCCAAAAAAGCAAGAGATGAGGAGGCTGTGCCCCCTCAGGAGGGATGCTCATGGAGAAGGGGAAACATTGAAACCAATGGCTCTGTGCAGTTTAGTCAGGCAAAGGGCATAAAGGAAAGAAACTGGAGATGAGAACGCTGTCATAAAGAACAATGACAGGTCAACGCTAGTTTTAGTTTCTGTAAAGTTATGGTTGTGTTTAGTGAAGGAAAATGGGATAAATTCCTCTTCGCCATCAGGCAAGGGTGAAGGAAAACTTGAACCCTTTTTCTTACTTCTCGCTTTGTGACTAAAATCTGCCAATGGGTTTTTTTTTTCTCCTATTTCTGTTTGTTCAGTCCAAGTCTAAGATAAAATTACCTGCTATTTTTGTGATGTGCCAGTGGTGTTGTTTCTACTGTTTATGAAGACAGAGATGTCCCTCTCTGCAGGCAGCTCTCCACAGACTGTGGGACAGGCATCTGTCTGGAATAACTGGGGAGCTCATTCCCTCTTTCTCTCCTTATTATTGAGTGCTTGGGTTGGTTTACTGCAGGTGCTGGGAAATTCTGGGTTTAATGGGGCATATAGTAGGAAATGGGAATGGGACAAAAATGGGAATGTGAGCCTGACACGTCCACAGGGTATTCAGCAGAGGGGGTGGGAGAAGGCTGCAGGACTGGGCTCACACCCCTTGGAGCCAGGAGAGGTCTCCTAGGCATGGGAACAGCTGAGGTGGCTCCAGGGCTCCGTGTCTCTTGCTGGTGTGGATTCCCCTCTGTTAGCACTACACTGCTGTATCTGACTTTTCAACACAATAACTGCCATTTTGGTAAATGTTGAGATGAGAACATCTCTCCCCACGACTCAAATGCCCGTCTCACAAAGATTGTCAAAATCTAATTATGAGTAATTACCCTATCAGATGTCTCATCATTCATTCCTGTAATTGGGTTTGCAGGGCTCAAAGATTTCTGCTGAAAGACGTGTAAAATGATCCAGGTTTTTGACATTTGCCTTCAGAATGTCTGTGGTGGTGCTCTGAGTGCAGAACCTCTGCAGTCAGTGGCTGTGGCTGTAAGGGACACCGAGCACGTGGAGCACTGTCAGCATTCCAGAGCCATTTGTGTGCCCTGCCCGGGGGGAATCCTGTGGTGGACACCATCAATAACATCCAGAGAGGAGCTTCCTGCCGGAGCTGGATGAAGCCTGGGGCATTGGCAGCTCACCCAGGGCAAAACTCCTCCAGGTTTGGGCAGTGAAGCCCATGGACGCGTGGGAGCCTTCCTTTGCTCCTTATTCCCATTTTTGCTCGAATTCCTGCTGAGCCCATGAGTCTTTTCCCTTTAACACATCTGGGTCAGCTTCTGTCCTCATTTGGATGTTGGGTCAGGTCTGGCTTTAAGCAGGTTCTCATGAGAACAGCTGAAGGGAGACGCTGGCCCCGGGAAGCTGCTGAATGTAGGAACATACAGATCTTATGGGTTGCGTAAGCAGAGGGGGCAAAAAGGACAGCAATCACAAGACCAGCTCTCTTTCCTGTCTTGTTGAAACAAACCTCTTTTCTTCTAGGACAAAGCCATTACTTTTTATACAGCAAATCGGGCTGTTTTCTTGTTTTAATGGATTTACAAATGGAATTTGTTATTAGCAGTAACTCCACCATTGTGATGTTAAGTGGCAGGAAATTGGCCCGCTCTGTTGCAGCCACCTCTCATTACCTTTCCCCTTCTCTTCTGAGAAGCTGGTTTTGAACAGCCCTGAACAGGGACATCATAGAGAATCTTAGTTCAGTTTAAAAACTAAATTAGAGCAATTGATCATTTCGTTCTGATGATCACACACTGCCAGCAGAAAATCCTGAAACATCTGTAAGAGCCAAGGGGGAATGGCTTTAAACTGACAGATTTAGGGTTTAGATTCAATATTAGGAAGAAATTGTCCCCTGTGAGGGCAGAGAGGCCCTGGCACAGGTTGTCCAGAGGAGCTGTGGCTGCCCCTGGATCCCTGGAATGTCCAAGGCCAGGCTGGATGGGGCTTGGAGCACCCTGGGACACTGGGAGGTGTCCCTGCATGGCAGGGGCTGGAATGGGATGAGCTTTGAGGTCCATCCCACCCAAACTGTTCTGTGATATTTGTAATTGAAAGACAAATCAAAGCCTTTCTTTAAGAACATTGGTGGAGGTTTTGAGGCTACTCAAAAGAGATTTTTGCTTTTATTTTCAACATTGGACTTGGTACTATAGGCACAGTCCTGTGGCATGACCTGAAGTATCTTTATCCTTCACAAATCAGACAGCCTGCCAAAATATGCTGGTTTGGTTCACTTTATGATTATTAGTCATTATTTCTATAAAGGAAAGAACTTCATTTTGAATGGATTGATGCTCTGCACAGGTTGAATTTTGAGGGCTTTGTCTAAACAAAGTTTCCAGAGTTACCCCAGGGCACGAGAGATTTCCTGAACCCAGAGCCCTGCTTAGTGGGATCCTGTGAGGGAGACACGCTGGGGCAAGGACAGCAGGAAGGTCAGCCCAGAAAACTCTGTGAACTTAAAGCTCTGTAGGCAAGGAACAGATTGCAGAAAAGTCAGGGGCAAACTTCAATGAAATATCAGCAGAACAGCTGAAAACAAACAAACAAAAAAAAACCAAACCAAAACCATAGTTATGAAATCTTCCATAATGGATTCATCTGGAATTGTGACTAATGCATCATTCTGAGACTCAGTGGAAGAAACCCCAACTTCAAATTTATTATATTTTCTTTTGCACATGTGGTTTTCATAGGTGCTGGAATGAAAACATTAAGACAAGCCTATAAACCCCCCTATATTTAAAGTTAATGACACAGAAATCTCAGTATAGCTGGTTTGCCAAGAAAAAGATAAATCACATTCTGCTCATCTTCCCTTTTTGCCCTTTTTTGTGTTACTTTTGCTTTCTTGAGCAAATTTTGTCTTTAAACCAGTTGCCAATAAATGGCAATTCATGACAC